CTACACGTACACACACAAAGATGGCAGTGTTTGTACACCTACAGGCACACACACAAAGACGGCAGTGTTTGTACACCTACACGTACACACACAAAACTAAACACTCACAGCTTTGACTACTTTAGACTTGATGACTTGTAATTCTCAAAGGAAGGAAGTCAGACATGACATGCTGCCAAGCTACTATTCAGAAGAGAGAGACTAGGCAGTAAGCATGCCCACTTGATGGTCCAAACTGATCAAGTAGAACCCATAAGGCAACAAGCCCTGAAAGTATTCTGTGAAGAAGACAGGGATACACAATTCTTCTTTATAGAAAAGATAAACAACAATACCAAGAAATACTATTTGATAAAAATCAATCTTTTAAAAAAGCCCCAATGTTAGAGGGCTCTCTATACTTAGAAAACTGTTACTTTTCTAACAGTATTTTCACTAAAAGTGCAGCCATTTTGAAAACCAGAAGTTATTCTGTATTAAGCACCACTCTGAACAATCTAGTAATAAAAAAGCCAGTATTTGTCACGTCTTGGCAGCGACATAAAATGGTGTAATCCTACCTGTACCACGGAGGAGTTGAGGTACTCTGCGCACACCCCTAAGGGCTGTACCAGCGCTGAGACGGCCTGGGGAAGACAGTGAAGACCACAGTGAGATGTGAGGGAGCGTTTCACCTTTTAAAATTAAGCTGAGAAAAATGTAAATGGTGACTTGGTCAAGTCATGAAGTAATGATTAGATAAACTAAGTTTCTGGACAGAAAGACAATACACTTAGATTAATATAGACTTTTAAATTAGAATGTCAACAAAACCACCCTGAAGCACCGAATGAAATGATTCTAAAGTTTATAATGATGAATATTGAAACATTTTATTTTGAAAAGGAGAGAATATTTGAGGAGGAAGTAAAATATCCTCTAACCCCCCACCCCCAAAAAGTTAAAGCTTATTTGAGGGGAAAAAAGTTAGTAAAATACATGAAAGAAAGCCCAAATAAATGAGGGAAACATTGTGTTCCTGGGTGGGAAACATCAATTATAAAAATGTCAATTCTCTGTTCACTGACCTACATATTTAATGCTATTCCACACATGGCCTCAGTGACTTTTTTTCCTGACATGCTGATTATAAAGACGAGTGAAAACTATCAAATAAGACAGATTTTAGAGAACAGTGACAGTGGGCAATGGAGCCCGGCCAGTAATTAAAGAGCGTGCACCGCAGTGAACGAAGAAGGCAAGAGGTGTCTAGGAACAAAGCACACTCATAGGCCTTGGAGATAAGACAAAACCAGAAGTGCCAATGGTAATCAAGCAAAGAGTTAGTCAGAGGAGCTTGTTCAACTGGTCATTTATTGGAAAGAAAAGTACTGGATCCTTGTCATACAATATATAAAAACAAACTGAGTAAACCAAGAGACAAGTTTTTTTCTTTTTTCTTTTTTTTTTGGTTTTTCGAGACAGGGTTTCTCTGTGTAGCTTTGCGCCTTTCCTGGAACTCACTTGGAAGCCCAGACTGGCCTTGAACTCACAGAGATCCACCTGGTTCTGCCTCCGGAGCGCTGGGATTAAAGGTGTATGCCACCACTGCCCGGCAAGAGCCAAATTTTAAAAATTATAAAAGCATAAAAAATTATAACCTTGAAGTGGGACAATGTTCCCTAAGCAAGTCTGAAAAACTTTGAAGCCGTTAAGGAAAAGTATGATTATGTAGAATTTTGTAATTTCTGATATCACAAATACAAATAAGGCTGGCAAGGAGGCTTGGAAGTAAAGGTCCCTGCTGCCAAAGCTGACAACCTGAGTCTTATCCTCCAGACCCACATGGTGGAAGGAAAGAACAGTTATCAAGCTCTCTTCTGACCTCCACACACGTGCCACACACCTTCCCATACAGATTCATGTACATTCACACAAAATTTGTTCACTATTAAAAGACTTCCTAAAAGTTAAAGATGACTACTTGAGATCTAAAAAGTCAATTTACAGATGAAATGCAAATAGACAGTAATCCTATAGAGAAATGCTCTAGTCACACAGTAGCAGAGTACTGCAAACTAAACAGCAAAATACCATTTTTGTTAATTATATTAGAAAATCACAGGCTAAAAAATATTTAGCATTATCAGTCATACTAAAAAATGGGTTTGTGTGAGTATAGCCTGGTGGTATAGCTTTGTGGAAGGAGATTTAGCAGTCAACTGCAATTCTAAAATGTATAGTCATTAAGAATTGATTCTTTACAAACATGTGTACATGAAGACACACACACATAAAGAACATTTTCTGTAGCAGTAAAAACTAACAAACGATCTAACAACAGTACCAAGCAAGTGCAACAGGGTTCAGTCTTCGTCCAAGTAACCTGGAGTCCCTGAGAACATGAGTGGTCTCTAATACGACAGTGAAAATGTACTACTGGGCACAGCCTGACAACAACTCCTCTTAGAGAAAGGGAGAGGAAGAAGAAGGGAGAGTGGGACAGGAACACAGGGCGTAGATGGATGTATAGGATAGACCAGTTTCATTTTCCAGTGCAGGTGGTTTTTAACTGGTGGGAATGTGATTGTTTTTCCCATTATTTTTCAAGTTAAAAAAAATATGACTTAAACAGTCTTATCATATGGCCTAAATTTATTCTGGGACACGGCCACCTTAATTGGTCAGAAATCAGGCACTTATCAAGAAACTTTAATTATACTGATTTTGAAAATGAGAGCCGAGTGCACTATCTCCTCAATGTACAGCCCCCTCCCCCACAACCACTGCTGCCAGGAAGAGTATTTTCGAAAATGGTCTGACCTAAGGGAAGATTTTAACTCCAAACATTTAATATCAATAGAGAATAAGCCTTCAATCCTGTGTGTGTGTACCCTTCTCCAATGTTCATCCAGGTAGGGTAGAAATTTGGGGGTGTTCTTTGTTATTAAAGGCTAGAGAATTCTTGACCCTTTTCAACACTCTTGAGAAACGAAGTTAATTTCTAACATCACCCAATGCCTACACAGTCAGTTTGTGAGAAACAAATACACTAGACAAAACTTTCTCTCAAGGCATTTTTCTTTCTTTTCTTTTTCAAATCACTATTATCTTTCATGTCAAAAAGCCATTTTCAACATACTTCATATACTCGGTAGGGATCAAATGCCAATCAACAGCCTAAGCAACTCTCGAGATAGGGACAGGAGGCTTCCCAGCGTGTGGCAGCAAGGTCAGTCCCTATTACCACACCACCAGTTTCTCTTCCTGATTAACATTTTCCTTCTTCCAAAGAGGGACCAGGGAAGCTGATTAGTCATTGTCTCACAGGAACTGCCCAATTTTTCACACGTTGGGGTGGTATTTCAGCACATCATTTCTGCATAGAGCCGATTATGGTGAGCAGCATGTCCCAGTGATCTGCCTGTCTGTCTCATTGTGCTGTTATTACAAGCATGTGTATCGTGCCTGGCTTTTTATGTGGGGGCTGGGACCAAACTCAGGTTCTTATGCTTGCATAAGCACTGTAACGAACGACAGCTTCTCCCCAGCCTGATTAACTTTAATATTTAACTCGCTGTATTCAGACCATGTCCCCTAGCTGTATACCAACTCAAATAAAGTGTATCTGCGCACTGAGCAGAGCCCGTGGTTTAACTCACCCCAAGTTCTATATCTTCTGAATGGAGTTTGGCTTGGATTGCTGCAAATCCACCTAATTCTCCAAACTGAAAAGAAAATAGGCATGTATATATTTAGAAATGCTCCACAGCAATAATTTAAGCAAAGAATTAAGGCTAATATTTTACTTTACCACTATGCTCTGTGAGATTGCTCTTGGAACACTAGGAATGCAATTCTAATGTTCCTAAGGTATACTGTAGGAGATGTGCTAACCCAAAACTTGGTATCACATACACAAACAGAGAAGGACCCATACAACATTCCTCCTCAGTGAAACGTTCTTTCTGTGGTGGTTTGAATGAGAAATGTCCCTCATAAGTTCATACATTTAAACACTTGGTCCTCAGTTGGTGGCACTGTTGGAAGAGGCCATGAAACCTTTAGGAAGTACAGCCTTGTAGAGAAAGTATATCACTGGAAGCAGGCTTTGAGGGTTTGCAGCCTCATCCCACTTCCTGCTCTTGCTCACTGGCTCCTGTGTGTGCCCAGGATGTGATCAGCCAGCTTCCCACTTCTGCCTCCTGCCGCTATGCCTTCCCAGCCTCATGGACTCTGCCCTCAACTGTGACCCACCCAAAATTAACTCTTCTCTACACTGCTCTGGGTCATGGTATTTCATCACAGCAACAGAAAAATAATTAATACATGTTTAAAATACCCAACTACCAGAAATCACACTAGAAAATGGGAATAGTATCTCAAAAACAAAGTGATAATAAAAGTGTATACCTTATTTACCAAGTCCACAACCCATCCATGAGGTTCCTGCGAGAAAATAAGGCCAAAATTAATATGGTAATATAAGTTTCCTCATTATTAATCTTCACATTTTTTATTTCCTAAATGGGAAATATGAAGAAAAAGCATTAAAATTTGGAACATACTTCAAAAGCCTTTCCCAAATATTTCTTAATATAAGTCTTTGACATTATTGTATACAATTTTTGAAGCATGTAAATTTAGATTTTCAAAGTCTCTGACATATTTTTGAAGCAACAAATCTAGACCTTCATGAGATTGTCACATGAGGAGCATTCATGCATTTGGGAGCAGCTGGTATTTGTTAAGTTCTCCAGGAATAGAATAACTCAAGTTAAATTCTCTAAGAAAGTTTATTTTATTTATTGTGGTTTTCCAAAACAGGGTCTCAGGTAGCTCAGATTGCCCTTGAATTTGCTAGGCAACTGAGACTAGCTTTAAATTCCTTACTCTCCTGCTTCTACCTCCCGGGTGTTGGGGATGTCAAGAGTACATCACCACATATGGATGAAAATTTTATCGTAGAAATTAAAAATTATTACCTAAAAGGTAGACATCTAGAATTCCGAGATTAAAGTTCAGTCCCAGTTTTATCATTAATTCCCTTAAACAAGCTCTTTCCTTCCTCTCCCTTCTCTTCTCTCTTTTCGTTTTCTAGGCCCTTGGGTCTTAGGTTTAGACAGGAAGGGATGTCACACCCACTTGACAGAGCTCCTATTTCAGCAGTTAAAAACCAGAAAATCACCACATATACAAGCAATTCAAATTATGATAATCCATCCTATAAAACAAAAGGCAAAGGGTCCTTTAAAGACTAGAAGGAGGTTTGTCTATGAGGAGTGGAGTTCCTGAAAGACCTGTACGACACAATAAAGGATAGTCCGTGCAGAAACAGCCAAGACCATTTGGAGAAGGCAGAGTCCACTGTGTAAAACACTACGAGAAATCTCTCCCAGGCTGCATGTGCTGAGCTGTGGAGAGCGGCCCGGGTGACGGGGGCTGTGGAGAGCGGCCCGGGAGAAACGGCATACGGAAGTAAAGGCCAGGACAGCAAGCAAGCGTTTCAAGAAAGGGTAGTGTGGGTTTTACAGTCTGGACAGTCATTTGCAGCTCTGCAGAGAATGCAATGGCATGAAAGAATGGAAGACTGGGAAGCGTCCAGACAACCAGTCAGAAGACTAACTAGGACAGACTAACCAATCAGAAGACTAACTAGGACAGGGGGGTGTGGAGCAGAACAGCTGCAGAAGACAAGAGTCTGGAGGCAAGACTGGGTAGAAATCAAAGAATCCATTTATGGTTTGAACACAAGGACTAAGAAGACAGGATGGTTTTGATGACTCTGGTTTAGCTTGAGCACTGAGACAGATAGTGATGTTACTTACTCAGAGGTAAAGAAGAGGCTGGGTAGGCATCAGCAAGACCTCTGGAAGCACGTGACTCTTGAGAACCGTGTGACAACTAAGAGGAGGTGGCCAACTCCTTACTCAGGTGTGCTCCAAGAAGAGTTTGAGTCACAAAGATGAACTGAAGTTATCATCACTAAGGTGACATTTATAACAGCGAGAAGAGGACATTCTTTACAGAAAGTATAGCAGCAAGAGAGGAAGGCCTGGATCAAAGCTGGGTGGCAGTGAAGGACCCAATAATGTGGTAAGTAATCCCTGAAATCCCAACTGTTGGGAAGTGGAGGCACGAAGGTCAGGAGCACGAGGCCAGCCTGGACTATAGGAGACCCTGTCTCAAAACCAAAACAAACAAAATACACATATATGACGAAGTTAAAGATTTAAACCAGCATGTTAAATAGAAAACTAAATACAAATAGAAAAAAGGAAACTGAACTATAGATACAAGAAAAAAAATCACAAATAAAGCACAAAGAGACAACAATGGAAAAGATGAAGTGACATGGAAGACAGAATGAGACAATCTAACGTATCTAATCCAAGTCCCACAAGAAAAAAGACTGATAGAGAAAAAGTAATTCACTAAAAGATAATGGCTGAAAAGTGCCAGAACTGATACAAAATATTAAGCACAAGAGGGCATTAAAGGACTCAGTCGGTAAGGGGCTTGCTATCTCAACAACATGGAGAGCAACCATGACATCAACCTCTGGCCTACACACACACACACACACACACACACATGTGCACAAAGACCTGCTTGTGTGCAAATCCACATGAACACATGTACCACATACCTAACCCCTATCTACACACACCTCCCCTCGTGTGTGTGCATGCACACAAGGTATTAACCAAATTGTTTGTTTGTTTGTAGACAGGGTTTCTCTGTGCAACCCTGGTTGTCCTGGAACTGGATCTGTAGACCAGGCTGGCCTCGAACTCACACACATCTGCCTGTCTCTGCCTCTCTAGTTCTGGGATTAAAGGCGTGCACCACAACTACCCAACTAAGAATATCTTGATCAGCCTCGTGAGAGTTAAAAAGAGAAGCATCAAGGAAGAAGAGTCTAAAAATGAAGCCAGCGAGGAAAGAAGCTCATTAAGAATCCAACTAGCAGCCAATTTCTTGACTGGCCCAGTCAAAGCCACTGCAATGCTAATTTATTATTCTGACAAAAATAGCTATCAGCCCAGAATTTAAAGGCCAATGAAAATATTAAGAAGTGTGAAATAAAGGTTCAGGCCATTAATAACAAAGTCAATCACTAATGGACCCAACTAAAGCATATTTTACAAGTGAGCTACCTCTTTTATAGGTTTAAAAAAAGTCAGGAAATGACTAGGAGATTGTACACTAAAGATAACAGGATAGGAATTAAAAGTTGGGGGAAACCACAGGAAACAAGCTAAAGTTTATATGCATTGCTCAGAGGAGAATAAAGATAGTGGAATTCAGGTTTTGTTTGGTCCGTAAGTTAAAAATTTAGGGTAGTCACTGTGAATGACAGGGGAAAACCTGGAATTTTTCATGAGGTTTGGGTGTGAGAAAGAGAAAGAAAAGAGAATCCATGCTGAAGGTATAAAGGATGTGATATTAAGGGCAGAACATTCAGCAACAGGAAACACCAGAGCATGCTTAATGAGAATAACCCAACAGTGAGGGAAAGACTAAAAAACAGCAAAGAAGAAATAGGGGCTCTAAGAAGCAAATTTGGAGAAGGCAGAGGCCAGGACCGTGATGGGAGAAGTAATTCCCCTGTGGGAAAAGGAGGGCAAAGACTGAACTGTTCTGGTCTCAGCAGCAGACAGTGAAGAGAGGAGAATGTCTGCTGAGTACTTACCTGCAGTGAACCATGAAGTGCAGTGCTTTTACACACATTTGCCATGTCACACAACAGATGTGAAGACAAGACTTCAGTGTTTAGGGAGAGCATACTCTATAAGTTAAATTTCATGACTGCATAAACTCTTCTTACTGGGACTTGGCCCTGGTGAAGTACTTAGGTGGTTTTAACTTCTCATGGGGGAAAAGAGAATAAAAGAGTACCTAACTCATAAGAATACTGTGGGATTAAACTCGCCATCCTTGACCCTCAGTGCTAGGACTGTGTTCACGGCAGCCCTGTACTAACCAATCTCTCCTCCACATTCTACACATAGGAGAGAAATACACTGAATGTTTATTTTACTGTAATTTGTTATTTTTCCTCTACTATACTACTGTACTGTACATTATACTGGTAAATTGTTATGCTTTAAGCTTGTTGAAAGCTGACTCTGGGAATAAGGAGGCTCTCTTGTCTCCTCCAAAGTTTCCTGTCTCGGAGTAGTCTGGTCCCTTCATTCTGTAAGAAGGACAAAGGAAAACAGCAAGCAACTGACAGTATTAAAATCATTGTGTCCTTGAGGACAACTGGAAAGTAAATTATTCCCAAGCCAGGTTCCTACTGTTTATCCTATAGCACAAAAACACCTGCAGTAAGGTGAAAAGCTCATGACGGAGAAGAGCTCTACCCAGCCTTTCGATCAGGAACCCCAGTTCCTGTTTATCTGTTTCAAGGTTTTCCTAGTCAGTTTCTGCTGGGTGACTGTAAATGGCTGAGTCACTGTTTCTTCTTGTACTTGGAAGCCTTACCTAAGGAGATACTCTGCTCTGCCTAGGACACTGCATTGGGAACTCCAGCTGGCCTCAATGGAGGCTTCCCCAGTGCGTTTCTGCTAATGTCTACAAGCCCTGGTTTGAGGTTACCTTTCGTTTGCTCTCACAATTGGGTTGCTCTAATCATCACTGCTGGATGTTGTAAGGACCCAACTTGATGATGTTTTGCAATCTGCTATTCCCTATGTATTACTTGAATTTTGTTTGCTATATACTTAAAAACTCAAGTCATTCAAAACTGAAAGCAAAGCTATCAAAGATAGTTATACTGTTGAGAACAATCATAAGCCAAGAACTGCATAATATTACACTTTTTGATAAAGGCAAGGAGTATTGTTACATCTCCCAGACCTAGACTAACAATCCCAGATAAGCAGCAAGTGGTCAATAAATGGCTGTTAAAAATCAAACTTAAGCAGCAAGTGGTCAATAAATGGCTGTTAAAAATCAAACGTCTATTCTATTAGGGTAATAGACACCTTTCCTACAACTAAAACTGACTTCTTTCAACTGTTTCTTAAAAACCAGTGTTTGAATTAGAGGACTGTTTAGATTATGCACTTCTTGTGGGTTTAATGTTACTGCCACACTGCAGACCTTTCTATATCAAACAGATACTGGATCTGGAACTGTAAGAACAAAAGTTCCAATGCTTGTGGTGTTTGCAAAAAATTCTAGATAACACTGATGACTAGTTTTAGTCTGTTTTTTAGGTAGAATTAGTTATTTCAAGTAATTTAAAATGCTCTACTCTCTCAAATACCTCTAGGAAACTGGGACATCAATTAAACTGTGGTTCTGATAATCCAGTATGTAGGGCACTGAAGTAATTTCTTTCACCAAATATAATTTCAGATAAAAAAAAAATTCTTCATAGCATTACTTAACAGCTACAGGAACAAATAAGTCATTTGAAAGAATTTTAAGTTCTATAAACCACACGGAATGTGTATCCTTTATTTCCAGATGATTTTAACTCTTCTATGCAAATTGTCAATTTTGTAGCACAGAAAAATTTTCAATACATTTATGGATTAAAAAGGTGAAAAAGAACTGCATTTACCTTTTGGAAAGTAGATACAGGTGAAATAGCAAACATATTTCCCTCTCCAAACACCTCTGCCCAGTTCCTCTGAGACACTTTCATTCTGTTTTTAAAGTGGTATTCATTATCAGGATTGAAAGCCTAGATTCAAAGAGAACAGAGAAACATTACCTATTTTTATAGCAACATATTAGCATTAGAAAAGAAGGTAAAAATACAGCCTTTGGTTCCTCCTCTAATGGAACTGTTTCAGAACACTGGCAAAACTAAGCTCTGGCTGATTCAGGAGCGAAGCCCTGGCACGGTGCTCCCCTGCCCTGCTGCCCTCATGTTAAGGGGGATGGAGCCAGCAGGGGAGGGGGCTGCCTTCAGGCTAAGCAACACCAACACCCCTGAGTGCAGGGGCAGCAGCTCAGGTACAGCAGATGACAGAAGTGGAGACAAGCAGGAAGCTGAGGAGAAAGCGAAGAGCTGAAGAAAAGGCAGAACCCCTGTAAATGTGTTTAAGACAGGAATAACCAGAGTCATCAGGGAAAGCTTCTGAACGTCTGTTAAAGCCTCAGAAGTACTTCTTCCAAACATGATGGCTGCTCTGCTGTTAAACTAAAAGGCAAGGACTCTGACAGCTAAGTTCATATTTTTCATGACAGAATGGTTATCTTTTGTTATTATAATTACAAGTGGAAGAGTAGCAAATTATCTTCAATTAAATCAAGATTTCGTTTTCAAGATACTATACCATTGTAAGCACGCCTAGGAGACCAATGGGAATTGGATCCTGCTTTATTCTCTCTGCAACCAATTCTATTAGTAGCATCAACATGTTGTAGATTCCTTCATGAATTTCAGTACCCCACTTGTGAACAGCACTTGATGTCAGGAGCTACAAAACAAAGGGGAATCCAGAGTCTAACTTGGAAAACAGACAAGAAACCCAGTTTATCAAGTAAATTTCAAGTAACCAAAAAATGTATGACCAAAATGCCCTTTTAAATGCATATGGCTTTAAGAACAGTAACTGTGACCCAACTTCTTTAGTATCTCAAAGTCAATACAAAGTTTTGTTTTGAACTTTAATTTCTTTATATCAAAGCAGCTTGATTAAATGCAATTTTTTTCAGGGTCTCTCTATGTAGCCCTAGGTATCCTAGAACTCACTATGTAGACCAGGCTGGCCTCAAAGTCAACTGCCTGCCTCTGCCTCCTGAGTGCTCACCCAGGCCCAGCATTAAAAACACCCCTTTTTAATTTGCTCTTCTGTTCTTCATTATTACTTCAGGAGACCAAGTAACACAGAGCAAGCAGAAACCTGACATCTATGGAAACTACTGGTTCCCAATTCAACAAAGTCATGAAATTCTCAGAGACATGGTCTTCATTATTATATTACAAATAATAAAAATATCTCTAATGATGGGTAATTTCTGCTCATCTCACTACAATGTTATAAAGATCAAAAGATATAACAAACATGAGAGCATTTATAAATGTAAGGCATTATTAATATATGCTGGTAAGCTGTCAACATTAATCGGTGGGTCTGGAATCTAAGATATGGGTGATGTGTTTGTTTCAAGGATTCATACATATTTCCAATTTGCATTTTTCACATCTCAGAAAAAAGGACTGCATCTTCCCACTGGTTGGCTAAATAAGAACTCTCAACATAAACAAACTTATAAATAATTTACTGTGCCTTTATTTCCCTTTTTTTTTTGGTTTGTACAAAAGTAATAGTTAACTTTTTAAATGGCTAAGCAAATGTAAAACAGCTCAAAATAATAAGATATTGTAATCTGTTTTTTAGGTATAAATATTAAATATAAAAAAGGTCTATCATAAAATCAGAGCACGTCTTAGATTTATTAAAAATAAGAGAAATTGGACCCTTCAACTCTTCAGTCCTCAGGATGTCTAATTCAAGACTAACTCCAGATCAGGGAATGAGAAAATGAAGGACTACACGCAGATGTGTAGAATGGCTTCACAGGCAGGTATGTTTAGTTGGCTGGTGTTTTCTTTTTCAATTGTTGGCTCGGGGACTTTGGGGGTTGATTTTTGAGGTTGAATCTCAGGTCAGGATAGCCCCTAACTCTGAATCCTCCATTTTAGCTTCCCAAATGCTGCAGTTGCAGGTGTGTGCCACCAAGTTCTCCCTAGTTCCATGTTTCTGGAAGGTTTCCCTTTAGAGGGAAAATATTGTGCAATAAAAACTCACTTTGGTCACATTGAAACCTGAAAGAAAAAAAAAAAGGTAGCCTGGACAAACCCAGATCTCAATAGTTACAGAGAGGGACTTCAGTTCTGCATTTTCAAAACACCCATTAGCTCCACTGTTGGCTCAAATGAGCAAAAATCCAAAGACTACATTTACATAAACTGGTGAGGCACCATTTTTTCCCAAGATTGACTATACACTGCTCCTATACCTAAAAATCACACATTAAAATAAGGCACTGACTGCAAGGCTTCATGTGATTTCAACATTAAAACGCACCACTCCATCGTCATCTCATTCGTTCACTTTGAACATGAAGTTCTGCCTTCTAGAAGAGGTGGGAGACAGGGGCACTTTGTGTAGAAGATGGGCATGAGGTTTAATTAAACCAACCATGCTCTGCAGCCACTTGGACTACTTCCTCGGGCGGAACAAGTGGGCTGGAAGGTGGAAAGTGAGGAATACAGAAGTAACAACACAGCCCTCCCTCACCCTCCATGCTCTCCGTACCCTACCTTCTACAAACGCTAGAGGCAGGAAGAGCCTCACACTAGGAAGTTCAGCTAGAGGAGGTAGCACCAAATCAATTAAATCCTGCCAAGTTTTCTGGGGGTGCATACAACTCTGCTGCTCTTCTGACTTAATCAAAGAAAGCATGCTTAATGTTAGGAAGGAGAGCCTTCTTCATAGTTCTAAACCATGAGAAAATTTAACTTTTGGGAATTCATAAAATTGAACCACACAATTCAGCCTATCTGTGCTCAGTTTCAGAGAAAAACAACCAACCAGCATTTGATTGTTCATTATAATGCCATTATTAGCTAAGGGCATAATATAACAGCTCTTCCAAGCAGTTCTGTTCCAATATGAATGTTACACACCAAATATAAAACTCACTACAGAACTTTCTGGATCTGGAGTTCCTCAACGAAAAAGTTGTTTTCTTTCTTAAAAATATGTTTAATGTTTTATTTATGTGCATGTATGTGTCTGTGTGTTTGTATCTGCAGGTGTGTGTGGATGCCTATGGAGGCCAGAAGAGGGTGTTATGTCCCCTGGAGCTAGAGTTACAAGTATCTGCCTGACAAGGGTGCTAGGAATCAAACTCTGGTCCTCTGCAAGAACAGCCAAGTTCATTTAACAGCTGAGCAAACTCTCTGGCCCCTAAAGGTTGTTTTTTAAACTAATAAGTTGTTTCCCATGACTAAATAAAACACACATTTCTTTCTCTAGAAGCATATGCTCATACTATGACATATGTCAATGTATGATAAAGAAGCCTCATATTTTAAAAGTTATTATATTTATAAAGAGCACGTTCTATTCAAAATTATAAAATGGTGAACAAATGCACATCTAATAACAGATCTCGATTCTAAATCATCTCCACCCAAATGACAACTTCAAGAGATTTATCCCTTTCTTTCAAAGATTAAACCATTTTTGTTTCTCAAATTAACACTGTCATTGTTTAAGCCTTGAATCAGGAATTCATACCCAAGTGCATATGGGAATAACTGTTTACAAATAGAGCATTTGTGTCACCAAGTTTTAAGATGAACACAAACTTCATCTATCTGTGAGTCTAGTGACTTCACTTGCATATGAGACAAAAATGAATGCAAAACCTTAAGTACAAGACAGTGGGACACTCATTCATCTATTCAGCTAAGGGCACTGAGCACTTGGTTTTGGCTAGGGAAGCAGCTATGTCTATGATACAGTCCTTTCTCTTATGAGGACTGACTCAGGTCCTGAACAGGGAAGTAGGCTGAATCAGGCTGCCTTTAGAAACACAAGCCTGTGGTCTATTTGCACTCTGAAGAAAACTGCTGTCTGAGAGAATGCTAACAAAATGAGGAGCAGACCTACCACTCTGGTTTTGACAAGCAATGTTCTCATCTGTCATTTGTTTCGGAAAGAACAAACTTTTAGTAGTTTAAAATAGGTTTCTGTCTTAGTAAAACAATAAACATAATGGTGCCCAAGCCTTAGGTACAGGGCTTGGGTCGTAACTGGGTTCCAGAACTCTGCATTTTGATTGGTTTTTGTAGTGGTCTCCATCTGTTACAAAGAGAGGTTTTCTTGAGGAGGGTGAGGACTACACTTATCTGGGTAAAAGGACAAATATTTAGAATGTAGTTAGGACTATGCTGGTTCAGTAAAGTGGTGGTTGTAGGTTGTCCTTCAAGATCTATGACTTCACTAGCTCTGGATTATCTGGCTAGATTTCCAGTACCAGGCATGATTTCCCTCTTGAGTGGGTCTTATATCCAATTAGAGGTGTTGGTTATCATCAAGGTACATGAATAACTATTGCAACCCTTAGGGTTATGATGCCATGCTGGTCATTGTTGTGGTTTATAGGTGTCATAGCTGGGTAGGACTGCTGATTTCTTCCCTCTTTTGGAAGCTTGCATGGAGCCTTCTGCTGCTACCAGAAAAGCTAGTCCTTAGGGAAGAGGCACTCAGGTCAGAACCAGCACAGGGGCCTCTGAGCCCTGTATCTGAAGTGCATAGTGTCTTCTTCAATAGGGACTTAGCTCCACTTGTGTGGGGCTACCAAGGGTAATAGCAATAGCCTATATGTTTTAAACAACCCTGGGTTTCTCATGTCTGCTGTTGAGAGTTCTGTTAGATTGTCTAGGGCTTTTGCGGGGAGCACTTTCAACTCAGATGGTAAATTTTCATTTAAACTATATATGTGTATTTATACACCAACTTCTGTGTATAATGGTTTTTTTTTTAAGTTGACAGGTAATAGTATGATTCCTTACGGATTTTTCAGACATCCTTACTCTCTTCCCTCTTTCTTCTGTATCTCTCTCCTCCACCTCCCTAATTAGAGGAGTCAGAAAGAGTCTAAGAGCCAGTGGAACAGGGAGTTTGCTGTGAGACTGTGTCTCCTAGAAATGTCAGAAGTTATACCCATAAAGTCTCACCACATGGCTGCCTAAACATGGGCTGAACAAGGCTGATGCCAACAGACACGCAAACATGAAGAAGGTGGAAACCTTCACCCCGCACAAAGAACTCCGACAACTAAGGAATGCTGAGAGCAGGAGAATAGTCTTCTCCAGGGAAGAGCACACTGATACCAAATAGTCATCCTGAAAACATATGGACTATGGACTAAGCATGTTGTAGTTGTGTATTTCATGGCAGTCCATTTTCCTAACAATTGCGATAATGTGCTGTGAAAGATTGAAATTTTGAATATTTACTGTATGTGGCATAAAATTATGAGTCAGTGGAATTAAGGATTGTGAGCATTTGATTGTTATGTGAGGTCTTAGGGAAAACTTGCCAAGTTTAGGATGGAACATCACTGGAGTAAGTTCAAAGAGAAACAGCACATGGCTCTTTTGGGTACGTGAACACAATGTATGACTCTTAGAGTCTGGGTCCATGTTTTAAGAATTGAATGTCTCTGTACTCAACCAATAAAGTCTTGTCACACCAACTCCAGTGTTGTCCGTGTGACATGAACAATTATGTCAATAATAGCGGATGGGAGATATGTGTCCCACGGGACTAAGCTCCCTGGAGGTTCCTGGCAGAGTGCCCGTGTTATGTTTCCTTCTCAGAGAAGATGTACTTCACAGATCACGAGCTCCCTGGGCTATGGGTTTTGTATAACTGCTTTTCTGATAATGTTCTAATTAATCTATGAAGCACAGCCAAAATTAATGAATGCTTGGGTTGTGAACTATGGAAGAAAGGGAAAGCTGGACATGGATCTTAATCAGATATAGCAGAATGAGCTATTTCTTAAAAACCCCAAGCCACTAGATAAAAAAAGTATAAAGGTTCAGACACTTCTAGGGAATAAACACTCACCCACTAGGAATCCTTTGGGAATCCCAACTAAAATGATTTATGGCAAAAGACGTTATCTCATAGGAGGCAGATGATGGGCCCCTCTGTTGAGGGAGTTCAGCATGGGAAACTTAAAGACTACAACAGGACCCTTTCCCCTTACAGGTGTAAAAGTACAAGAGTCCATATTCCAACGGGTAAAAAAGTTTTATATTAAAAGAGCTTTGTGGTGGAAGAACTGAAGAAAGACTTAGAGAGGGTCTGCAGCATCCAAATTGACTAAGTGGGTCATGAGAACCAGAAAAGTAGGAGTGTATAATGAACTAGAAAACTGCTGGGATAAGATAAGGGACACAGCTGCAACCGCAAGAAGCCTACACAAGTCTAGGGACCGTACTAAGTTTAGAAAACACAGACTGCTCTTTGGGTCATAAAGTTCTTGTGAGTGAAGGGATATGTCTAGTGCCGATTAATAATTATGTGCTTGCTGTTTTTTAAATTATTGCCAAGCTCTTGTTGCTCCTTGTATGACTTGACAGTTTTCTTTTCTGTATATAAACTACTGGTTTACAGAAGTAAAATTACAACAGATTCAAACCACTTCTGAGTGTGTTGTCTGTCAGTCGCCGAATCCTTGCCTTCCTGACTACCCAAGCCCTGGTTCTCCTACGGTCGTGGTACCCCCGATGGGCCAGTCCGTGGCAAAGTCTCAGTTGTGAAAGAAAAAATAAGAATATCTATCTGTCTACATACCTATGTATCTAGACATTCACACACGTTCATCTATCTATCTATCTAGATACACACATATATATATGTGTATATATAACGAAAACTAAAGAAAAGAGAGGCTATGAATTTCAAAGAAACCAAGGGGTAAGTACATAAGAGGGTTTGAATGAAGTATAGATTTGGAGGGAGAAAGGAGGAAGGGAAATGATATAATTCTATTAATCTCAAAAATTAAGAATTAAAAAAAACATGAAGTGGCTATTTGGGTAATGAATACTAAATTTTCAAAGTACCACAACCTGTAAGCTATACAATCTCCTACTATAATTAAATTAATCTATTCTTTAGCAATTAAATATTAGAAAGAATTAACCAAAGGTAAATGTAAATACTTGAATATAATAGAAGTAAATTATTGGTAAGTTTCAATTTCAAAGCTTATTTCATATTAGAGGATTCCTCAGTTGAACAAGATTCATGAACTGATTTTATGCATAAATATCTAAAACTAAAACCAAAAGTTCAGCTGCCTTTGCCCTACCAGCAATCAAATCAGCACATTTCCTTACCTTTTTAAATGCCTCGGGCATACACCGCTCCATAAATCTTTTGCAGTTCTCATCGGACTCTGAAAGACCTTGGTTAGATAAACAAGAGGATATAACTTATGTAGATTTCAAGCTTTTTGTAGACATTGGATATTTGTTCCAAATCATACATATAGATCTTTATCACAAAACCTTGTTTCTTAAGCAATTATTAAAAGCTGATGCAGACATTCTGCTATGTATAGTAGCAGGCTGAGAAATAATCATAGCATTCAATAAACACTAATTAAAACTGAAATGGATGGTCTTATGTCTCCATGTCACAGTAACTTATGTGACCTGATGAGATAAAACAGCAGCAGCTACCTAAACAGCCATTTATAAAAGCACAAATATTTGAAACAAATGCCCAAATTACTCTTCTAAAGCACGTGGATGAACTATGTAAATAAAACAAAGAGTTGTGTCTGCAATAACATATACAGCAAGTAATGGATGCTAAGTGAATGGAAGAACCTACTGTAAAAGTTATTCACAGGAAGAATGCATTGCTTTTTTACTTTTTTTATTTTTACTTGTTTACAATTTATTTACTGTGGAGGCAGGTGATGTATATATGTGGAGGTTGGGGGAAAACTTAAAGGAATAGGGCCTCTCCTTCCACCATCTGGGTCTCAGGATTTGAACTCAGGTTGTTCGACTTGGAGGCAAGTGCATTTACCTACTCAGACAATTAACTCCCTGGGTCCAAAATGCTTTTCTCTCTTAAACTTAGTAATGAATTTTACCAGTAGGAATACTGATAAACAATTCTATTTTTGAGAACTCCTGCCTAGCATCCTAACAGACCCTTAATAAATACCAGTGTCAGGAAATCAATACTACGGACCATAAGTGTCTGTTGGGGTTAAATCTAGGACTTGTCAAAATATTTCCTTTGATACATCTTACATTTAATCATGATTAGTAAACTATGCATTCTTCCCGTCTCCTTCCCCCTTCCTTCCCATTCTCAGGGAAGCACACTGCCAGAATTCTTCCTAGTCTTGAAAAAAAAAAAGCTCTGAATTGAGCCCAAATTGAAAGTGCTCCAAGCTTCTAGGGAAAAGTTAATTTTAGTCTCCACAAAGCTTTTCAATTATATTACAGATACTCTACTAGAATTGAAAACAAACAGCTGATTTAGTTAAAGCTTTTATCCCACAGGGAATAACAGAGACTGAGAAAATAAATCACACAATGACACACACAAAGATGAAACTTTGGGTCCTGTAGCAAACATCTGAGGGATGACAGTGAAAGCTTACCGAGTCTTGCTAAGTAGGTAGAAGCCAAGAGACATTTGCCTAGTGATTCCTCCCGCTTGTATGGGATAGACCAATGATCAGTCAAAACACGGCTTTCCAGTTCATACAAATTTGTTGTGGGGAATTCAATTCCTTCCCCTGAGCAATTTCCATTTTCATCATTCTTCTGAGAAAAAAGGGAGAAGAATAAAAACAAACACTCCAGTTAGTGACCTCTCCAAATATTCAGAATTTAACAAAGAACAGATAATCAATGGTAATTATGTATACCAATAGTGTGGATTGATCTTTCTCAAAACTACAATTTCACCAAAGAGCAGAAATTCCCAACTTACATTCTGACATCTCCCTTCCCTCTCAGAGGTTATCATTTCTTCAAAAATGAATTCTCATTTTCTCATTATAAAATATTAAAACTACCACCATTGTCAGCCACACTGCTCTAACTTAACTTTCTAACTTCGAGGATAAACTTGAAGGAGGCATCTAATCTATTATCATCTCCTTGCCTGACAAAAATTACTAATAATACCACAATCGGGATCCCAGAGTCCTTACCCCCACCCCCAAATGACTGCTATTATGGTTATGACTGAACTTTACATTTATACACCTTTAAACCAATGACTATGTTTCAATCTTTCCCCAATACTTCTCAGGAATATTTGAGCTTCTGCCTAACCCTCCTCTTAGAAAACTAGATTTTCTTCCCTTATCCATGCCTATCTGTGGGTTTGGTTCCTCCTGTTGGGCCCCTCCTTCTGTATGTCCTCCCCTTCTTAGCCACCAACTACACGAGTCCCTCAAGCCTCAGTACTAGGCCCTCTTTTCTGTCCCAGGCAATCTCCGTGATTTACCTGCCCTTCAAATCTCAATTATAATCCAGAGACAACTCATAAACTTCTTTTGGTTTATAAAGTTTTAAACGCGCGCGCGCGCACATGTGCTGATTATGGGCATGTCCATGTGGGTACCCAAGGAGGACAGAAGGACACTGGATCCCCTGAAGTTACAGGTTGTCATGGTACTCCCAAACTCTGGACTTTTGCAAGGGCAGCAAGAACTCTTTAACAGCTGAGCTTTCTCACTATCCTCAGATGATTCATAAATTTCTATCCCCAGCAGAGACCACTCTTCTGACCTGCAGGCTCACAAAGGCAGAGGCCTATTTAACATCTTTTCCGATTCAATATGTGTCCCAAACCAAGTTCACATGCTTCTCCTTAATTCCAGTCCACTTCTCTTCTTTTCCATCCTGGCAAATGGCACATTTGTCTGGCAGCAAATCAGAATCCAGGAGACCATAGTTAACACTTGTTTTCTAATCTCCATCCTCAAAAGCTAGTGATTATGCCTAAATTCCTTCATTCCTCTCAAATCTACACACTTCTGTTTTCATAGTCACCTCCTAGCCCACTTTACTCCTGGGTTATTTTACACATTTCCTAACCAGTAGGAGGAGGGGTGAGAAAGAGACCACTCATATAGTTTGCCAGGCTCATCTTAAAAAGCACAAATCTAATGTTAACCCCCAAATATTTACTATCCTTAAAATCAGTTTTTAAATGTTCTATAAGGCCTTGCGAATGACCTATCTCCTATCTCCCACTCTAGCTTTCTGTTCTCTAGTTTCTCTAGGACCTACCAGCTTCTTGAGAGGCACAACACAGCAATACTTCTGGTGTTAGCAATGTGCTACTCTCTTGATCAAAAGATGACAATTATTTCCCTTGGCCTTGAAGTAGGGTGAGGCTTTGTGTCTCTGGCTTGATGTCCAAGCCTACGTCATGAAAAGGGAATAACCTCCTGGCTCTCTCTGGAATAGTTCCCTGGACTCTTTTGTTACCAAAAAACACTATGTACTGGGGAAATCCAGGATAAATGAAGAGATCACCTATGTGTGTCCTGTCCAATAGCTTCACTTGGGCCCCACCAGAGAGCCAGGGAAGGAGCTCCCAGATTCAAACCTCTAGCCATTGTCTTCAGCCTTAAGTCTTTCAGCTGAAGTCTCAGAAGTCACAGGGCAGGGACAAACTGTTCCATGGGGAGAAGTCTGAGGCTGTTTCCTGCAGAACCACTGTGCATAATGCTATTTTTATGCTACTACTCCTAATTCATCTTTGCCCTCTTAAGCCTACTTGACTCCTATACATACTTGATTCTTTCCGAGAGACTCTCTAAAAGTTCTAAATGAGGCTAAATTTCACCCCAAAATTCACTCTTGCCATTCTGAAGTACTCCCTCATAACACTCACTACTCACAAATGTAATTTGACATTTATTTATGGGTTTGTTGTTTGTTAACTTTTTTGGGACAGGGTCTCACTAGGCAGCTCTGGCTGTCCTTGAACTCAGATATCCATTCACTTGCCTCTGCCTCCCAAGTGCTGGGATTAAAGGAGTGCACCACCATGCTAGGTGGATTTATGGTTTATGTTTGACCCCCACAAGACCAAGCTCCATGATAGCACAGACCTTGGTTACTTTTGATGACCTTTTATCTCCAGAGACTAGTGCCTAAGTCAAAGTCAGTCCACACTAAATACTGCTAAATGGGAATTGGCCGTGCAAACAAAGATGCAACTTGTAACAGGCTGAGGGAAGACATGCCTTTCGTTTTCACCTTGCTGACCTGTAAGAGAGCAATCAGAACCCCAGCTGTCCAAAACCTACTAGGTTTACTGGGTTGTTTAAAACCTAGTTTCAATCACTGCATAATTCACCCAGGACAAAATAATGAAACCATTCCATAAAAAAACTCTCTATGGGGCTGGAGAGATGGCTCAGAGGTTAAGAGCACTGACTGCTCTTCCAGAGGTCCTGAGTTCAATTCCCAGCAACCACATGGTGGCTCACAACCATCTGTAATGAGATCTGGTGTCCTCTTCTAACCTGTAGTCATACATGCTGTATACAAAATAAATAAATAAATCTTAAAAAAAAAAAAAAACTCTCTAACTTCAATAAAGGAAAACCCCACCATTATAAGAAAGAAATAATAAAGCACAAGAAAAGGATTTTAAAATTCTGCATTAACGGTATCTAAAGGAATCTAACAGCATTTTCCAGGCTGAACTGGTATGACAGTAAGTGGAAAAGCAGGAAGGTATAAAAGAAAACGTAAATTGGGCAGTGAAATATGAGAGTGGCAAGTTAAATAGATGAGAATCATAATAAAAAAAAAAAGCTGGGAGTGATAGTGCACACTTATAATCCCAGCACTCTGGAGAGAGGGTGGTGGATCTCTCTGAGTTCACAGTCATCCTGGTCTACATAGTGAGCTCCAGGACAGCCAGGAAGATATAGAGACTCTGTCTTAGAGAAAGAGCCAGAGCCAGAACAAGAAGGGGGATGGGGAGGATAGATAGGGAAAACACTATTCATGTTGTATAACACCTCGGAAATACACAATTCATAAGTACTGTAAAGAAATAAATTTTTTTCTTAAAGGAACCTGAGGTAATATATCAAATCATAGATGAAGTCACATACTGTACCCTGAGTTGTGTTGGAGAAAGATTTAAAAAGAATACCTTCAATGTCTTCAGCATTACAGGGTGAATGGTATTACCCCTCAAATGCATGTTCCAGTCCTCACTCTAATGGGAATATACAGCTGTCCCTCAATATCACCATGAATTAACACCAAGAAACCCCACCCACATGGATGCTCAAGACTTATAGAAAATGGTGTTCTACTTGCATATAATCCACACATACCTTCCCATAAGCCTGAAATCATCTCTATTGTAAATCAATTATTTACAATACCTGATACAATGTTCATGCTATATAAACATGTGCTATTTTGTGTTGTTTAGACACTAATGACAGGAAAATAAGCCTGGACATGTTAGCACAGACACAATTCTTTTTCAAATATTTTTGGTCTCTGAATGGTTGATTCCATGGATAAGGCCACTGTTATGAAAGTGAAAAGAAAGCCCTGTATGATGGCTCATGCCTTTAATACTATCACTTAGAAGGCAGAGATAGGCCGATTTCTGAGCTCAAGGCCAGTCTGGTCACAGAAAGGGAGCTCCAGGACTGCCCAGGCTACACAGAAAAACCCTGTTTGGGCAGGGGTAGCCAAAAAAAAAAAAAAAAAAATACAGAATGTGAGAAGTATTTGAAAATATGAAAAGGTACTTAATTCTAGGATATAGAAGAACTTCCCAGGCAGTGGTGGTGCACGCCTTTAATCCCAGAACTCAGGAGGCAGAAACAGGCAGATCTCTGTGAGTCTAAGGCTAGCGTGGTCTCCAAAGCGAGTTCCAGGAAAGGCGCAAAGCTACACAGAGAAACACTGTCTCAAAAAACCAAACAAAAAAACTTAGGATTCAAGTTTCAAATGGACATTTCTCCAAAGAATATCAATGAATGGTAGGTACATAAAAAGATATTCAATATCATTAGTCATTAGAAAAATGCAAATTGCCGGGCGGTGGTGGCGCACGCCTTTAATCCCAGCACTTGGGAGGCAGAGCCAGGCGGATCTCTATGAGTTCGAGGCCAGCCTGGTCTACCAAGTGAGCTCCAGGAAAGGCGCAAAGCTACACAGAGAAACCCTGTCTCGAAAAACCAAAAAAAAAAAAAAAGAAAAATGCAAATCAAAACCACAAGATATTACTGTATCACATGCCTTGTGGCAGCCAAAATATAAATGGCAATTGCTGTGGCATGGTCTGTATGTCAAATTGCTCTGATTGGTCAATAAATAAAACACTGATTGGCCAGTGGCTAGGCAGGAAGTATAGGCGGGACTAACAGAGAGGAGAAAAGAAAGAACAGGAAGGTGGAAGGAGTCACTGCCAGCCACCGCCATGACAAGCAGCATGTGAAGACACCGGTAAGCCACAAGCCGCGTGGCAGAGCATAGATTTGTGGAAATGGATTAATTTAAGTTATAAGAACAGTTAGCAAGAAGCCTGCCACGGCCATACAGTTTGTATGCAATATAAGTCTCTGTGTTTACTTGGTTGGGTCTGAGCAGCTGGGGAACTGGCGGGTGACAAAGATTTGTCCTGACTGTGGGCAAGGCAGGAAAACTCCAGCTACAGGTAATAGTCAGTATTGATGAGGATGAAGAAAACTGGAACCATCATATCTTGCTGATGATATTATAAAATGGTAGAGTTGTTTTTGCAAGATAATCTGGAAATTTCT